ATAAACAAGACATTTTTAGTATCGTACAACAATACTGTTTAATTATAATATAATATTTCATTATTAAGGTATAATAATAATATTCAATTTCAGTATTAGTATTACTCTGTAAATTTTTCTTTTGTAGATAGTTGGTTTAAATTAGCTGCTGTATTTAGCTATTGTAAATACCAACTATAAATAATGTAATATAAATAATGTAATAATAATAATTAATATATGTTTATTTAATGTTACACCAATGTTAAAACAAATGTTGGAAAAGTCCTTATTGATATTTAACTTAAACTCAAAAAGTCTTGTATTGGTTGCTATGTATAACCGTTAGCTTAGCATAAACAATATTGATTTGTCTAAGTGTACAACAAACTCAATAAATTGATGTAACGAAATAGAAAAAACATTATCGTTCTATTGTCAGTGAATAAAGCGTGTTTAGATTGCATTTCTTAAAAATCACTTTTTACTTAGGCAAAACAAGTAAACTAAACACTTCTAACAAAATCAATCGATTGCATCTCTTGTATTGCGAAATTCACCAAAGGGTTTCGAATGTATTTGCAAATTGTGAAACGTCCCTTGTGCTTCAAAATATATCAAAGGATTTCTAACGTATTTGAAACATGTCAAACATTTGTAAAATACAACCATGATATCAAGCAACTGCTTTTTGGAGAAAGAAAGCGACAGGTTATAGCAATGTCCACAAAGCACACAACATCTAATTGTATTTTCAAGATTATATTCTTAACGAGCTATAAATGCCTAAAATATGAAGGATTGAAGGATTTTCAAGTTAAGATAAAGTGACTTCCACTCCTTAAAAAGCCGAAATTCACTGCTTTGCTCAGACCACCATGCAGGTCATGAAATTCCTCAGAATCTATGTCAATATTTTGACGAATCTTGTAGAAGAGCATCAATATTTTACTTCAGTCAACATAACATACAAATCTTAAGCAATTTTTATTTCAAAAGCCGAATTTGCTGCTTTAAAAGAGGCTAAACGTTTAATAAGTCATATCCTGTTGCTGAAGAAATATAAAGGTAGCATTTTTGATCAATTTTAACACCATTTTTTCAAAGATATTGGTCAACTCGTCAATAAATACGATAAGTCTTGTACATTTTCTCGTATCGAGATCTCTAAATACTTTCAAAAGCCATATTTACAAATTTGAAAACTAACGGTGTTTTGCAAGGATAAATAGAATCAGTATCTACCAACATTAACATTGCCGATTGACAAAAGATTCAACATCAATTTGTGAAAATTATAAACATACCATCTAAGGTTTGGCAACAATACTAATGTTTCATGTTCAAATCGCGAACATTGTTTGATGACGTTGTAACACTGTTATCGATCACGCCATAATGGTAATAATTGTTACAAAGAAACAAAGTCGTTCAAAATGCAAAGTAAAATAAAATTATGACTTTCATATGAAGAACTAATCGCTACTGATATGGCAGTGACGTATCAACATTTGTAAAATACAAATATTGAAGATAAAAAGGATATTGAAGGTCTTTCACCTAATTGAAAATTTGGAAAAAACAAAAACGCAAAGAAAAATCACTATGATAAGAAATATCAAAATGTGACAAAACCAAAGATTTCCAGAATGAGCTGCATATCTGCAAAGTTAATACATAATTATACTAATTAACCGTGAATTGGACACTGAAATTCTGATAGACACCAAAATTCTGAAATGCACTTTTGATCTGTACATCTGAGAAATACTTCATCAAGTCTTAATTACTATAATATTCAAATACATCTAAAAAGGATTATGAGGGCCATCGCCAGTTTCAGACATACAGCTTTAAATCATAAGATATCGTGTTGTAATGTTAAAGTGACAAATTTTTAAGACGTTTCACAAGAAATTGACTAAAAATGTTACTTATTGTCTTTTCATTCATTTTACTAATGATACAGTTATGTTTTGGAAAGACATTTGTTGCAAAATAAAGATAAGACTGAATTTGCAGAATTTTGCATGACCATTTTCTTAGGCATTGACCATAAGATACAGGTTAAACTTTACAACTTCATATTTCTAGCTTGGAGTCTAAAAATGTATAGGAGACATGAAATTGATTATAAATCATTATTGCTAAAATATTCTTATCTATTGGATTCAAATAGCTTTGCATAAGTAGCATCATGGCTCAATGGCAATTAAAACACCCTGTGACAAACTCAAATTATCCACGTCGCATGTTTAAACTAAGATGAAAAAGGAAAGCATCCCTCTAAAGACATGGAAACTACAACTAAAGCTAGTGTAATAAACGCGTTAACATGTTTGATAAGTTTCTGTTGACACATATTCAGATAAATCTAATGTGCCCTGACAAGCTTGCTGCTATTGCTCAATCATACATTTTGAAGTATTCAAAATAAAAATAAAAAGCATTCGCAAGTAATCCATCCTGCTTATCAAATACAAGCAGAATCAATATATCAATACATTGGTATATAAGTTTACATATATTAGATTGAATTTTTCTTTTATTCGTTATATATACGTCAATTCCAAACTTTGGCAAAATCAAAAGCAGCAGAAAAAATAAAATTCAAGATCATATTTCAAACTTCTCTACAACATAACAGGGCGTAAACTTCGCAGGTTTTTACTACAAAAGAATTATATATATTCAATCTGGGAACAATTAAAATGACTTTTAAAAAGGAAATTAGCACAATCAATTTATTTGATGACTAGAATGATAAGCCCAAGCAACTTTGTTCCTTCGTAAAACCAGAAGATGACATACGCAGAAGTTAAACACAAAAAGAATGCTAATTGGTTGTCAGAAGTGTCTTCTTGTAGGTCTTTAACTCAATTCAGAACCTATCTACTTCTGATTTGAACACGCTTTGGTTGGTTAATTAAGGAAAGTTTTTGTAAAGTGGTGCGTGCTTTCAATCAATGTGTTCTAACAACCCAGGTGCCTTGATCGTTTGTGCTCATGAGCCAACTGTTAGGTTATCAACTGTTTTTGTCTTATAAAAACACAATGACAACAATAGAAATACAGATTTTATCACTCATTTCAGAGTATTCCTCTGCCATCATCTTTTCCAAGAGAAGCTTCCAAACAGTGATGCTTTTGTAACAGCAAAGACATAAGACGCTGAGTAAAAATTTCCTGAATATTGGCTTAAAGATGTCAGTGAAGACAATCAATAATAAATTTGATCTTAAAAGATCTATATATATATATAAAATGTAATTCTTAAAGATTAAGATATAACACTTAGTCTCTAAAGCTCTGAATGTCAATCAGAAATTTATGGATGAAACACTTTGCTCATCTGAAAATAAATTATCATTTCCTTTGATGAAATAAACACATGCAAGATTCAATGAAGTATTGAATTGCTGAAAGGAAGAACAGAAATGCCACATTGTAGCTGCATTTTGAAAGGCTTTGTTTAGATAGATAAGCCTGAGTAAAACTGTACTTTCGTCAGATTAAAAGCTTCAACTCTTTCAGCTTTTTTACAAAAAATGCTCTTTGAAAAGGTGCAAATATAACTGTACAATAATTGGGATTACAGAAAATTTCACAAAGCTGCAATTTCAGAAGACAAAATGTTGATAATATGAAGATGTGAGTTCAATGAAGTTCAAACACAAACAACAGATTTCCTATAGAAGAAACTAGTTAGACTTATTATAAAGCATACTATACAAGTGCCAGATGCATACACAAAACTCCATGATATTCAAGCAATGTTCTGAATCACCAATATGAAGTTGGAAAAATAAGAGATGAAACTATATCTGAAAAGACGAGCAAACGTATGGAAATGATTTTTTTGGTGCTACAACTCTTTAATAAAACGAAAAGCTACGGAAGCGATATAATTGTGTCAGTATCAAAGAGAAGTTCAAATTCCTTTGAACAGCCTGAAGTAAATCGAAATAATACAACATCGATACATTGACTAGCGGAAAGTCTAAACTACAATCACTTTTGAAACAACAAAAATCGATTCTCAATCACTAGTTTGTCTATTGAATTCTTGACATAAATTTATAAGCCATCATTTATTACAAAAATTACCACTGATATGAAGGAGACTGCAAAGAAATTAAGCTGGGTCTCACTGGATTCCACTAGAGTTTCAGAAACAGGCTATGTGTAAAACGGCCTATATTATATCGTCAAACAGCATTTCGTGCAAAGTAACTTTTGTCTTCGTTTATGGTCTCTAATTTTCTGGGAATCTTCAAGGACAACAGTGGAAAGCAAAGCAATAGAAAAATCACGTAGAAACAAATAATTTACATTCAAATGCAACCTACTTTTAATGCAAGAAAGAAGGGTGTTGTGCTGAAGAATGTTTAATGTGTCCGGTGCTTCTGGAAAGATACCCAAAAATCCTTCCAAGGAATAAAAATTCAATAAACCTAAAAGCTTAGTTATGATGGAGTAATTTACAATCAATTTCAATTTATGAAAATGTTCATAAATTTTGAAGCTTTTGATTCATACAAATGATTCTTCGTTCAAAAATACCTGCCTGAATAAAGAAAGATTCATCGTGATGTTTAACAAGCTTTTTCAAAATGAGATATTTCTTGTTTTTGAAATTATTTCTTACAAGATAAAAAATACTTGAAGTACTGGAAAGTACTCTTTCGCTAGTCTAGTTGTTGATAGTGTGATGAAAACGATCGCCTGAGTTGTTTAGTAAACTGCCGCAACTGAAAACATGATTTTCAACAAAAATAAAAAAAACGACGATTCAAAACCAAAAAAGACCTTTGCTAGGTAAAGATTATTGCAGAACGCCATATTTTCAACAATGCGATAAAATAGCATTTAAAATACAGAAGTAAATGCAAGATTCGATGAGCAAAACCAAGCTTTGATGTAAGAAGTATCAATCGTGAATCAAAAACTTTGAGCACGCCATTCTAGACGCCAGACCATTCATAGCAGAAGATGATATGATCACAAAACATAATCTCATCTACGTCCAGCTCAAACGATAACAAATCGTTTGTATTTCATAAAATTCATTTTAAACATAAACAACTTGCAAAACATTGTCTAATACTTAAATACAGTTGACACTTAAATATTCACATGACTGCGAAACAATAAATAAATATTGTGCTTTTTACAGATTTGTCATTACAATACACATTTAAAATAATAGAGTCGACATCTAGAGAGAAGCAAATAGTAGTTAAAGATATTATTTCTAATGATAATATACTTTACATTTTCTTACTTGCAAAATCTAATATTTCCTTGATAAGACTTTGCTAGTGATATAAATATAAATTTGACCGAAAATAAATCAAAAAGCCACTTTCTAGGTTATAATTCATGTTATCACGATATCATCTTTATTCATGCTCTGACTTTTATCAGAGCATTTGTAACTAGGGAAATAAGGGCATGGAAAGCCTGCTAGTAAAACTCGTCGAAGAATTTTCAGCAGCGATAAACTATTGCTCGGGAAAGATTAATAAACCTAGCAATAAGGGAAATCCACAATTTTGTCTTGAGAAAAAGCGCTAACTTTATGGCCAAAGCATCTAATAAAAATTTTAAGAATATCAAAGAACATAAATAGGTTTTATACGTTATGACAATAAGTCCCTATTGTAATTATAATCTACAATAAATTAAATGCTAATGAACCCAAGTTTATTAAAACTTCCAGTTGATAAGGAAATATTTTGGTAATAATAAAAACAATTAATATGCTAAGCTAATGTGCTAAAAAGTAGTCAAGCTACACTAAAGTTTTCTGTTGCTGGCAATAAATGAAAACTTGTTAATGATGCTTTTAAACTGTATGCAAGCAAAGACGATCTAACTTAAAGTTGCTTTTGGGATCGGAGTGAACTCGGAAGGAAGGACGACGCGAGTTAACGGTCAATATGTCAATATGCGGGCGTAAACTGTTATCGTGAAGGCCGAAGCGTTCAAAACGGCAATGCATGCTGATATTTTAACTTGACTGCAGATGCAGCAGTTTTAAGACTCACATTTTAGAACAGGGATTTTGTACTACAAAATATAATAATTGCATGAGACACAAGAAACATTTTGAATATCACTGATGTCTATGCGTGATCAGGTCATCAATATAACGCATTTGGCTGCTCGCCTAAAGTGGCATCTGACGCAAAGCTATAAGGCAATTTTCTAGCGTCTTTCTTTAGAATCAAAAGCATTAGTTGCAAAAAAGGACCTTTTAAACAAAATCTGTCAAAGATTTTATTGTAAGCTTATCGACAGCGCATTTTCTCTCTGATGTAGCTACAGGCATCACATGGGTTATCTTTCTATCGAAAAACTTCAAATGGCTCCTTGATTTAAATCATGAAAGGATATCAATCATGAAAATGTGGTGCTTCTTTGAAAGTCAGCTATCAAAAAACGCACACCCAGTTCGTGAATAAACGTGGGTCTTTGGACAATGTTATCTTCAAAATCAAATTTTTCGTCATTGAAAAAGGCAAGCAATCAAAAACAGATGACTTCTAACGGCTGTTGTTAAAATGGAAACGACGAGAAATGAGGATCTTACAAAATGAAATATTGTTGGACATATGGATTATACACATTCTAAATGCAAATATCAGATCACTGAAAAGCCAGAGATATGGGGGAAGAATCGTTTTAAATAACAGGCCAGCTTCAAATAAGCAAATGTATATTATATTTAATAGACGGCCACATATTGATCTTTGGAGCAACGAAAATCAGCACTATGAAGCAGATATCGTTTTGTCTTAAGAGTTTCTCGTATTTATTCTTCTTTAATCATCGTTTATATACAAGAATAGCTTGCTGAAGCACAAAATTGTCTCCAGAAAAGGTAACTACTACAAGAGTACCATTTCTGCTTTTTTCGATTAAGGAAATATTTTGCACAACTCGAATTTCTAAGTGTGCAGTTTTAATAGCAAGTCGCAATTTGAGGAGAGTTCTGCCGGAAAATGCAAAAATCGGGGCTGAAAAAGCAACAGATAGTTTAATTCTTTGATTTAATTTCATTGAATTATGTTTTGTTCAGATCTTTAAAGCCCAATTCTATTTATTTGCTTTGCTCTGTCAAAACAAACAGATAACAACCTTAAAACCACTTCAGTTGTCAAACTTAATAAATCAAAGAGCTATCCAACCTATCACTGGCAAATATACGATATTGATTTTAATATAATCGTATCGGCAGCGACACAACACTTATAACTTACAATACCATTAGCCGATATAATGTACGATATTATTAGGTGTATTTGTGCGGTAAATAGTTAGAAGTTCATAACTTAGTGAGCATGTCCGTAAAGTATACATATTGTACAGAAATAAAAACTTATACAGTATTCTGAATTTCCTATTTTCATTAAACATAATAAAACCTACATAACAGGACTATTTGCATGCAAACTTCGCCCTGTCATGCCGTTCCAACATGAATAGTTCATATGAGAGTCTAGGCTTGGCGTTTTGTAGCCAGCATACGAAGGCGAGCCAAGATTGTGGTACTGCGTCGTTACTGGGTACGGATTGTAAGAGCTAATTGATGGAGATTCGGCTCCTGTTTGGTGGCCAATATGATTGTAACTTTGCATGTAGCTGCTGCCAAAGCTATGGGCTTCATTTGATGAAAGTGGGCTCAGTGAACTATGTGAATTCATCGACAATGGATAAGACAGGGAATTGCTCGCGTTGCGCCAATTGCCCTGCATGGACGATGAGCTTAACGAGGGATGATGCATAGGCCAGGTAGGCGATGAATAACAAGAATTACCGTAATTTCCATACCTTAAATCTGTGCCGAAATACCCGCCAGGGTAAGGGTATTGAGTCATTTGCCTGTATGGTCGTTTCATCCGTCTTCTTCTTCGGTAATTTCCATCTTCAAACATGTACTCACAAGCAGGATCCAGAGTCCAGTAATTACCCTTTCGTTCACCACCTCCTTCTCTGGGAATCTTCAAGAAGCATTCGTTTAGTGACAGGTTATGTCGTATTGAATTCTGCCAACCCTTTTTGTTTTTCTCATAAAATGGAAACCGATCTATGATATACTGATAAATTTGGCTTAAAGTCAGTTTCTTTTCCTTCGAATCTTTGATCGACATGGCGATAAGAGCCACATACGAATAAGGTGGTTTCACGTTTGGGTCTTTATCAGGATCCAATTTTGAGTCTTGTTTCTTCGAATCGGTAGACTCACCTTTGCCTTCCTCCTTAAGTCGATTATTATCATCTAACATCTTTGCCTTGGATAAAACTTGCTTATCAGCTATTTCATTGCACGATGCAGTGCTAGGCAATTTGTATGACATGTTTGTTTTCTATCTTGCTACACAGCTAATATTTTACAAGCTTCTGTGTCAAAGCTTACAAACTGAGTGACTACACGGACGCCACAATGTCAATTTGACTTGCGGCTGGTAAGTCGAAGCCCCCCGTCCACGAAGCACTGAAATATTCGTGCGATATGATTGGCTATTGACGGAGGAGTCAATCCAAATTGTCTAGATAACAATTACGCTACAGTTATAAGGCCTCAATCGCCACACGATCGCCTTTATTCCCTTTCTGTATTTCTCCTGTCTTTTGAATTTCTGTGGCTTTGCTACAAGCAGGACATGTGTTTTTTACAACGATGTGATTATCGCGATCGCTAGCGCCCTTCTGCTAGCCTGCTATAGTTTCAGAAAAGAAATATTCTGTTTCGAATTATCCATGCAAAATCGCCCTGCAATTTATGCAAACGTTTAATCGACAAGTAATAGCTTTATTGGCATTCTGAAAATCGTTAATCGGATGGCAACTATATACATTTTGTCTGGTTAGAAGCAACTTCAAGTAGCTTCTTACGGATTTTAAAGGGGTTCATATCATGATTGAACAGTTATTTTTAAAGTATTTACCTACCAAGTCGAAGCAGACTTTGGAGCAGCAATTGCAGAATTAAAACTTGATCTAAAATTTATAATTTCTAATTAACAGGAAATTGAGATTGATTGCTAATAAGATTTCACGGAAATTATAAAAACATTCATAACGAAAATTTTCATTTGTTATTCATTGACTGGTTTAGTGTTTAAAGAGACAATGCTAAATAAGGTGTCGCAAAAGTAATCAAACACAAAGCTTACAGAGTAGGAGCTAATTTGCGCACTTTATTTTCATTCTTAAAATTATAGAAAGAGAAGGGCATCAATTTATTCACCATTAGATTATTTGCGAGAAAAAAAGGGGAAAATGAAGATGGCTTACTTTCTCGTTGCATTGAAAAATTTCTCTTAAACGAATCAAAGAAAAAAGGCATAAATTAAGTAAAGAAAAACCACTAATAAACAAACCAAAACAATTTGATCAAAGCTCTAGGGGCTTTGACATTGAGATTATAACTGGAAATGATTTATTTTCGATCGAACGGATTAGCTAAAAAGAAGCCAAAAAATTTAGCCTGTTCCGGCACTAGTAAGTTGATTCTCTACAAGTATATTTAATAACTCTACGGTAATGATTGTAAACTGTAGTTTAATTCTGGTTTAATTTTGATTGTAAACCGTGGTGCAGAATGACCAAATAAACCCAATGTTAGTTTCAGCAGAGTCAAAGGGTGCAAAAAGAACACAGAAAGCACGTGTTTTAATACAACACCCAGTTTCTTTAAAATAAGCATAGGAAAGCGTAGGTTAAAAACCGCAATGAAATACAAGTCGAATGCAAGGAAATTCTGAAAACAAAAGAAAGCATGTTTCACTTTTAGATTTGCCAGAGCCAACTTTGCGAAAATTTCAAGATATTTTACGAGTCGAACCGACAAAAAGACATCTTTCTGTTGTTTCACAAACAAGCTCTTGGTACATTATGCAGATTGGGTGACCTGGCAAATTTGCAAATAGTTAGAAATTCTCGCCTAAAATTACCGAATCCTTGCTAAAGGTTTATTTTTTACTTAGAAATATAAACAAAATATTGAAAAGCGTATTATGGTCGCTGTTTCTTTGGTGGTGTTTTCAGAAATACTGAACTCACAAGGTGGTCAAATCCTATATTCTATGAAAAGCGTTTTAAATGAATACTAGCTAAAACCGTAGCCTACATGGCACACTTTAAATCTCAGCTGAAAACGACTCTTAATATAGACTTTTAATTATTCAGTATCTAATACGGGTTTATCAGTGTGGTTTTGAAAAAAAGAACTTCCAGCTGATATATATCTAATTGGTTAGTGGTCTCAACCGTCTCCTGATATGAACAACTTTAAAACAGTTAAAAGTTACTAGCGATAAGGCCGTGTCTATACAGTACCTAAAGAGAGTGAATGGAACTACCTTAAGCAAAATTATGAAATAAAGTATAGCTATGATTCGGAAAAAATAATGTTGTCCTATTTTTCTGCTTCAACATTGATGACATTCTCATTAACTGGTACGAACCTATTGGTAAACGTAAGCTTAACAAAAATTTTTCGGTCACAATTTCTTGAAATTGCGATGCTAATGATGATAAATTTACGCAGAAAATGCAATGAAATCTCTACTTGCAGTTTCGAAACTACAAACGGTGTTCATTTTAAAGACGTACAAACTGTGTTGTCTTGAGCTTAACGGTAATAAAATCTTGAGCGTAAAATGATTAGACACAACTATTCCCCTGTGTTTGGTCTATAATTGAAAGGCAGTATTAGACTATGCGAATTAGGTTCTGATTCAGCTGCATTACTTCAAGATATAACCCTTCCACACCATTAGCCATCGTTTTTCAATCAAATATCATCTTTTTGTATCAATAAAATACAATTTGATGACGTCATAAACATAGATTCGGATACTAAATAACATTAAATCAATTTGGATAATAATTTGGATAACCTGAGCTTTGCTAACATCTACTGCTGATTTGACCTGTTTCAATGAAGTAAGAGCCAAAACTAGGCTACAATTTTTTTGAAATGGCAATGCCTTTTCATAGGTCGAATTTCGATGCATTGCATGGCGTTGGTTTAGATTCTATGGTCGAAAACCAACTACTTTGTATAATGATTATTCGCCTTTATCGTCTAGCAACACAAAAGAAACTTCGGTTCCTTATCTCTGTTATTTTTTATTGTACATTCCTTTTTGCAAATATGAGTAGTTGGGCAGAAAAAACACGAGGAACTGTATAATTATGAACTATTAAAACTTAATGAAACCTTACTAGTTGAAGTATAATAAATGCTAGTAGAAAGCTGAATTGTGTAAAAAAGGCTGGAGACAAAGAAGCTTAATGTCGATAGATTAATTATAGTTCAGTTTATATGGCGTTAAAAAGCAAGTTCTTCGTTGATTTTTCATGACACTGTATTGGACAATGAAAAAGTGCATCAATAACTGCATAAACTTAGGCAGCCATGTCTTATTATGAAAATTTGGCCTAGTTATATTTGCTAGATTGTGCAAAACTCCAAAATGACGACATATTTCAGATAATTGGCAGATCCCGGTCTTCTTTTAATCTAGCAGTTTTGGAATCGATCTACATACAAACAAAAAATCCCCCATGGTGTGACAGAAGGAGTTCGTTTTCTCTCTTGTTCCCCATTGGTAATTTTTCTATCAGCACGCAGCACTTATTGGACAACTATGCCAGTCATGTAACTGCGTTGTTCTGATTGGCCTATTTCGATCCACAATTTGATATGCATTTTCCGTTGTGTTATTTCGGACACTTATTCTGACTTTTCATACACTGAAGAAAGTCAGACGAAAAAGATTTAAGTAGTATGTTGCGAAATGTTTGCTTTTTTCAAAGCCATTTTCTAGATATATTTATAAGGTTAATTGAACTTTTAAAACCTATGGCTGCAAATAAAAACTGCTTCACAGTCAACTATAGCTATGAACTGACCTGAAGGCACTTAACCTGAAGGATTTAATTGTCAGTTTTAGAAAATATTTTGGTACACATTTGATAGAGACGCTATTTCGAAGACCACGCTTTATCGAATTTATAACGAAGATTACGACGTAAATTTCAATATTGCGTGCGTTCCAAGATGTAAAATTAATGCGAGGCATGACAAAAGTAAGCTAAGCAACTTAAAAGATTGTTTTTTTCATATGACAAGTGACACTTTTGACACAGGTTAAGATGGAAGAAGCACGTGGCATGCGTGAGTTGCTAACGCTCAGATATTTATAAAACGTGATTCTTGGGTTTGATTCTTGTGGAGCTGCTGATAAATCATCCTGAAAAGTCACGTCCAAAACACAGAAGTATTAACCGCCAAAATCCTCAAACTAATTAACTTTAACAAACCATACATTTACAAAAGACTTCACCAGGACGCAGTCTATATTGAGGCTCAATGACTTTAATACTGAGATGTTCATTTTTGGTTTACTTGTAACAATCACACTGGCAAGGTTGTGATTGCTTTTAGAGAGATATAACTAGATTAGTTTACGAGTCTGATTCTTTTAGTGCCTATCTTTGGTCTCTACATAAAAAGGGCTTTGTCTAAATAGCTAAAGTGGTTTTAAACTAGTCACCCATTGTACTGAAAATAGTGAGCGGACTTTTCACATTGATTTAAGGCTAACAGGATGCCACCTACCAGTGGACCCTTTAAAATGACCACGTTGACAGGACTTCTTAACTGCAGAAATTACCATTAAAATTGTAACTTATCATACATTGTATTGCTTTAGATGTACTGCTTATCTGAATACACCGCAGGAAGCAATAAAAGTTATACAATAAGATAGGCGAGTAAAAGTAGAAAACATATCGCAATAGTGAAATTATGTGCGTGTGGACTATTTCTAATAACAGTTTTAGACTGGAGATAGGAACGTCTGCGTATGGGATTGGAAAAGAACATGTCAAGCAAGCTAAGGAGTAGATCCAAGCTTTGATAGATGTACCATCAAAGATGGCTGTGACGTTGCTAGAAATTTCTGAACACCTAATGGTAAATATTGCTAGTTAGTTGAGGATCATTCTATTTGCTGAAATCAATTCAAGAGAAACTAGTTGGTTTTATTGAAAATTTACAGTGTACCCTAGTGTCACCACACTAAGGTATATTACATACATTCATAGTTTTGGCAACATTCTGTAATCTACTATTTCAGGATGTAATGATGGCTATCAGTGAAGGGACAAAGTTAATCAAACATTTTAGCATGAAGGATAAAAACGGTATATTATCCAACATTATGAAATCCAGGAATTGCAAATTTATATATTTTTTACAAATTTGATAGAAAATTGTCAAAAAAAATGAGAAGAAATATTTCAAACAAAGAAACAGCGTACGATAATTTGACACTAAAAAGGGTAACAAGAAAAATGCAAGTAAAGACAAATGCTTGATTTCAAAAGTTTGCATTCCGAAAAAAATCTTATTAAAAACGACAAAAATTCATTTTGAACTATAAATGATATTAAATTCAAACCATTTGATAAGAAATCATATCGGGGGTTGAATGAAACTTTTACAACAAAATTAGAGCCAAGAACATATATATGCATAAAATATCACTCGTCGTTGCGACATAGAACCGTCCTGGTTCATACCCCAAAGCGTGAATAATTATAAATTCACTTCATGACAGAGTACTTACAAGAGTAATTTTCATTGGAATTCTCATGTAATGAACAATCAAATTTAGACCTTCCGGGGAAAATTTCAGTTTCGTGTGAATATATGCATTCAATATTGTCGTAAAGAAAGACTTTGACGTACGAAAGTTTAATTCAATATTTTTTCATGTGCATTTTCAATTGGAAGGGTTCTAAAATGGAGAAGGTCTTTATTATTGAAATGAAAGTTAATAAAAAGTAGAGATAATCGCTTCAAGATGATTACAAGCTTAAATATATCTAAAGGATAAAAAGGATAAAAACATGTTTTAATTGACATGTTATTCAAGACACATGATGAGAACTGATCAAAACACTATCGTGTGATGCAAGATTGGTCTACACAACATTGCAATTTACATATGCTTTGATGATATGTTTCGATGCAGTTTCAAAAAAGTGCCAATAAAAAATAATTTGAAAGCCAAAAAAAACAAAACATAGTTCTTGAAATGGTACATTTGCACGTCAGGGCAAGGTTTTAGCGAGGTCCACTCTTTATAGGAAATATGTATACAAACTTGTCAATTACAACAGGGGTTATACGAACATGGGTTATATAGATTAGAGGCAAGAAATTGAAATTTCTTTCTACCTGGTTATTTCACATATAACGATGATGCTTGTCTGCTACCGTTGATTGTTTTTTGCTTCTAATCTAATGTTGTTCTTCATTAGATTTAGGTATATACTTAACATATTAAGAATCAAAAACTTAGCAACAATATATCGAAGAACACAGTTGACCCTAGTTCTCAATACAGTAAACGCCTGCATAAAACTACCGATTAAGAGCCTCCTTGCTAACTTTTGCTAACTAAGCACTAAGGCAAAAACCACTATAGAAAATTATAGGCCCTATTTGAGTCCGTTACAGACAATCAAGACATTTTATCTTGGTTTTCACTGTAGCTGTTATTTAAATGGATTGCAGATTCGGCACGAGCAGGAAGTAGCTGGATATAATGTTGCATGTTCTAGAAATGATAAAAAATGGGAAATAGAATCAGATTGGCATATGCCAACTGATTTTTGGAAATTGCAAATGTTTTTCTTTCTTAGAGAAAAGATTTAAAAATACAGCAAAACAACAAGTGAAAAGCTTTTTATTGGTAAGTGGCAAATGAATATATTTGGAAAATACGGAGGAATAAAGGACCAGAATGTGTGAAAAGGTGAATCTAGGACAGCTTGAACCAATCCGAAGTGAGATAAATGAGTAGGAATATAGTATCTGGTAGAAGCTAGAAAAGATATAAACGAGGTATAGACAGCCACAAGCATGATTTAATCGATTACTACCTTACAATGAATGATGCATTAAAAAGTCGATGAATTGCTTGATAGTTTAATTGCCATACGATGAAACTGCCCATGAATTAATCACATCAATTTAAATTAATAATATACAACTTAACAACCTATAGTTGAACATATTTTTACAAACTGGGGACAGTATCACTTACAGATAAAGTGATGCCTGATATTATGATGGTTGCACTACTCAGAGCATAAGACGTCAGAATCAGGGTCCGAAAGAACACGATGAAAAATATATACCCAGTTGTGGATCGAAATAGGCAAATCAGAAAAACGCAAGCACAATTTCTTTAGGCTCGCGGCACTGATTGGTCAACTATACCGGTCTTGTGCTTGTGTTTTTCTGATTGGCCTACTTCGATCCACAACTGGGTTTATATTTTTCATCGTGTTCTTTCAGACCCTTTTTCTGACCTTTATGCTCTGAGGAGTGTCAGACGAAAAAGCTTGTAGAATGTTGTAAAATGTTTGCTTTTTTCAAAGTCATTTTCAAAACGATATATCATTTATGAAAATATCTTAGATTAATTGAAACATATTTTACGTAGGTATACCTAGCTATAATAGAATGAACGATATGATGTCAAAATTGATGGTCTTATACAGAATTAATAATTTATAGCTCAACAGATACTTATGCTTATTATTGTGAAGTACCAAGATAATACAGTTGCCGTAAACATGTCGAAGAAATGAAAATGGATTGTTGAAATAGTTTCGGTGACCCATCGATTACACTTTCGTTTCTCAGTTTTAATAGTACAGCCCCCGTAAAAAGTATTTTGCAAATTTCAATTCGCAGACTGGACAGCATAGAAAAACCTGTAATAATTGAATCAGTGTGGCATAATGGAAAGTGTTCACTCTTCAAACATGGTTTTAGTGCAGACTTTAAGCGGAATAATTTATCTGAGAAGCTGGGCAAAAGGCGGCCTGGTTTCACTGCAATCGGCTGACGCTCAACTGGTTGCATTGCGCCGTAGTCATGGAAAGCTAGATTGGATTAAGCAGGATCATGCAGCTTTTCACGATGGTGTTTTAATATGCTTTGCGAACCCGCACTTCTTTTACTTTATTAATTGTAGTTTTAGTTTAATAAATCGGTCTTGGTTAGCCATGAATCGCAACGTGGCGATCTTGCGACTTGAATGCTGTTTGAAAACAGACCGAACACATGAAAATTCGCAGAATATCACAAAAGCTCCTCCGCGATAGCTTATACGATGGCGTCCATCAGTGATGTTTAAAGCTGGCTGTGATGCTTGCAGCCAAAGTGAAAATCGTCGCCAAACTGCTGATTATGCGCTCTGATTAAATGTGCGGCCTTTGGATTGTTTCTTTTACATGCAAGATACACGACACGATACTCGATCACACTTCCCATTATTCAAACAAAGGAATGCATGTTGATGCAAGATAAACGTTTCAAAAATCGTAATGTCTTTCAAAATTCGATTGTTCCAGTAAATATTCTATACATACATACTGGGTGCAGGCAACCTCCAATTTAATTCAAACTTTCAAATTTCAATAAATTCAAGCGCACAATAACTTCGGATGATAACCAACTCAGGGACCAACCAAAGAGGGTGCCGGGGGACCATGGTCCCCCATTTTTTTGCGAAGCAAGTAGTTCTACAGCTGCAGTCAAAAGGGAAAGAAGCTTTGGCCCCCTACTTTTGGTAGCCGGGCCCCCCACCTGCAAATTCCTGCCGTGGGCCCTATAGATTCTTAAACGTATGTTCTTAACAGAACTTCTTAATGGTCAAATCCTAGTTCTCTTCAGATCAATGTTTTCATTGATCACAAGTACAGATAACATTCCAGGGCCATTGCTTGCCATTCGCATAGATCCTTTGCGCGTCTGAATCTGCTCCGAGGGTATCAAAAAGCCTGCTCGACTGGAGGAATAGGAAATTGAAAATGCTTGCATTTGAAAGAAATTGTATCAAATCTAATCTAAAGGTTTCTGTGAATGATTCAAGTTCATTTCTGGAAATTCAGCCGAGAATTGTCAATTATTCTACCTTTGCTCGCCGAAGGGTCAATTTCCCGGCGATTAGGTGGTCTGAAAAGTTTGTCGCATTTACAAAATATCCGTTAGAAAGTGGTAGAAGGCGCGTGAAGGCTATACGTAAGCAGATCACCATTGAGGTGAATGTTCGTCACGGAATTCAAATAAATAACGATGAGACGAGTATCTAATGGGTTATCACTCCGAATAAACATCCACCTTGTACTGGGTTAGTACGACGTCAACAGCTGTTTCAAAGACTAGCATACTGTATCTTGCAAAGACAAAAGATGTGGTCTGGTCAGGTTTTATAGGGCAGCGACGCACATATCGTATTGAGAAGCCGAATAGTAAAGATTAAGTGCTTAAGATACTAAGACATTGTAAAAACAAGGCGTACGCAATGATCGCCAACTGTAAGATAGTCATTTCTTAGAAACATGACCCCGAAAAGCATGAAAATTAAATTGAGAGACTCGCTGTACTCACGTGACATATTGATGGTTTAATTTGCATTGTTTCTTCATTTATTGAAGATGAATCGTTGGTTTGTATTGGATCAAAACAGGAAAGAACCTAGAAATGAATAGAGGACAGCATAAATTCACCGCATGCTTAACCAATCTACCACACACTCTGCGACTTTTTTTAATCCGGCGTTATTATGAGAAAGCAACTGGAAAAGTGACATTGAAGTAATCTGCACTTATACCCTAGCTGTGAGAAATCTCGAAAAGTGACACCTTTAGAAATATAAACCTTATTATTCCAGGTTACAATTCTCCCTTGAAAACGGAGAAAATAGGCAAAATGGCCTAGATGTCAAAGTCTCGGGTTTTACAAGGTGACCTTGCTAATTGAGGGTAAGAGATCTATTTGGCTACACGATTCAGGTGAATATCCTAACATGAGCCATTCCTGACTTAAAATTTATAGGGATGGCCAATTAAAATTAGCTTTACTCATAAACGACCATTATTCACAAACAGCAAACAAATTTTTAACTCAAGGGTCATAAATATCTTTGTTCAGGACATATAATGATAGTCAAATGCTTTTAATGACTTTGAAGAAACCGGAATAAAAATATTAAAAGCTAAAGAAAAATGTCAGTTAAAATCTGAAACGAAAGTAACAGTAGGGCCAACGAAACTAAAATCGGGAGTACAGCTAGCTAAAGAGCAGGTTGATCAAATCAAAAGAGTGATTGAAAAAAAATGAATTACATATATCTATTAGGAAAACAGGGAATTCTCAATATTCTACAAAGTACGCCTAGAAACAAGAATTCGCCTTTTTAACCATTGCAGTTAATCTTTTTCTATAAAACAAAAGATTATAATTCTCAGCACTAGTTGACGTCAACCAGATGATTAAAGTAAAAATGCATGTTTGTGGATATCAAAACACTAATTACTTTTATCTAAATTCTTTTTGACCACTGCCCAAGAAATATAACTGTCCTAAATTTAAATGCTTTTTGATTGTTTGTGAACATGTATTATTGAAATCCAATTTTGGATCAGACGCATATTACTTTATTTTGAGACAGTGCGCTTTCTCATATCATTTGTTTGTTTTGATCTTTTAAACGTTAAATTTCATGCTGTATTGCAGTGCAATTATTTTAATAATATATCATTTGTGTATACGTGCGGCTATAAATATTGGGAGAGGAAATTTATTGATCTTAATATAATTTTATAGCAATAAATACAAATATTAGGCGACTTGTTTCAACCATTCATTAAAAAAACGAAGTCTTTCATCCTTTGATTATTAAAGATGAAAAGTTATCTTACCGTATCATCTTAAAGTAATATTCAACCCTAAAACTTTATATCTGACATCAAAACTTTTTTCTACAATAACCTTAACCGTCTTATGTTCTAAATATCAGGGTGAACCAAATATTTGTTTAAAGATAAGGGCGGCGACACTCTAACGGGCGGATCAATAAGGCCAATTATGGTAACGAGTAAAGTGAAATATTGTCTGGCAGCTTTGGAAATGGCAAATCCCTCTGTATATGATTACTACTCCTATCAAAGATGTCTTTTGGATATTCGTCTTTACGGATCATAATTTTCTGATTTTTTAAGGCCCAACGTTGCAGCTCTTTTCGTCAGTTTCGCTGATTTTCGATCGCTGAGTTTCGCTGATCTTTATCAGCAAGCCCATTGAGGTCCAACTCTATGTAATTTGTCAGGAAAGGTACTTTACATACTATTATTTTCTCTGTCTCTTTCTGTGGTGTCCGTTTCAATAACTGCTTTTTATTGACAAAAATATATAATAAAGGTGTACTCTATATAGGACCAAGTGTTTCCACTAATGTTGAAATTTCTTAAAGCTGCAGTATGTTTCTTAAAACTTTTCGGCTAAATTGCGAAATCTATTCCCTACATAACATGTCTCGGCCATTTTGGCGGTGAAACCAGTTTCGGCCATATCGCGATATCTAATTCCTGCATACCATGCCTGTTCGATTTTTGCAATGAAAAGTACCCAAGAAAATAATCAACATCTTTCCCACATGAAGAATTGTCTTAGTTAACCAACGAAATAAATTAATGTTACCAGTAGCACATCATCAGATGACCGTTAACTTCAGGAAGAGAAGTGTGCTTCTAAAGACGTTGGATCATTGATCTGATTTCTCTGCATGAAATTTAGCATTCTATTTGCGTCGGTCATTTGTAGACGGATATGCCTTTTCCACTTATCATAAGACGAAATGCCAAATTACTTTCATAGAATGGACTTCTGCAATGTGCCAATGTCCATAGGTCTGCATCACCCAAAGATCTGCATATTTCTCAAAGACAAAAAAGCAGAAATTTCCGATCGACATTATGGATGCGTTGTTTGAAGATTAAAGGAGTTCGTCGATCGAGATTTTACAAAGCAATCAAATAAACAAACATCGAATTCTTTCAAAAACACTTGAAAGAAAAAAATCTTTCTATACTGAAATTTGTAAGCGTATGGGGTAAACTAGGGAAATGGTGCCAACGAATTGACTTAATCTTTGGTTCCGTTTACTTCGTTGGAGCCGATAACGTTTTACGTAAACAAAATAAAAGGCGCATGGCAATAAATAGACAAATTAGTGGTGTAACCAAAAGACGTGATGTAATATTATGTTGTTCATAGCGATTTTAATGGTTTATTAATCCAGTTTAGATTGTCAGGCTAGCAACGACTACAGACATACCTTGCAATTTATTATGTGTCCCTCTAATTAATAACAATCTTGCAATTTGGCATGGAGCTCGCTTAGAAAAACAGTTTGCTATGTATACATTAAAGAAACAAAAATACAGTTCTATTTTATATGAAGTGTAAATAGAAATGGTTATAATAAGTGTAGTGATTGATTTAACATCAATTGTAAAAGTTGATTTGCACATTTCGGTTTTGTTACCGTTCATTGAAAAAATCAATCTGTCAAGAAATATCCATCAAAAAAGCAAGGACATAGGTAACACCAAATCGCCGTAACATTGACTGATTCTAAACATTTCATTCAATGTTATCAGAAGATTATTATAGTTCGCAAAATGCAGATAATGACAATGGCAAAGTATTACCAGTGCCTATACCCTACAACTGCCATGTTAAATATTCTGAGAAAGCCAATTTTGTATATAGACCATCCTTAAAAAAGAACTCTCAGCTTTTCCACGGTAATATATATTTCCCTCTAATAGAGAAACTGATGTGCACCTAAACTGAAGCTACAGCCTCTTGTAAATCTCCCCTGGAGTGACTTTTGCTTCCCACTACCCAAGAGTTCGAAAATCTGTTAGCTAAAGTTGGCCTTCAATAAGACCACCTGCATACAGACCACTTGCATACTGACCATACCCAATACCATATACACGATTCATAGCTACTTTAGAAAATACATTCTCACTTTTCTCTGAACTAAAAACATTTAACACCATAGCCTGCATATGAATCGGGTCTAATAAAAAATAAAAATGCATGGTTCAGTGCTGGTGGGCGCGTTTAAATGTGATATTCAAATGCATCCAAATGGTATTCTTAATATCAATAAAATAATTATTTGATCGATACAGAAATAATACATAAACCAGTATTGGTAGTAAATTTAAGTGTATTAACGAAGACGGCACACATTACATACATATATATTACAGAAGCGCATTTGACTAATTACTTAGAATTTACATTTAAAAATGACTGTCGGGAAGGTTTTGCGGCTTTCGCCATTATTGTAAAAACATGACTCGCACTGTTTCTCATTATGTTCCTTGAAGTTTTGATCCAAAAATAAACCGGAATTAACTCAGACTGAGCAAAAAACATCTTGGTAGGCAAGGAATGTGCAGGAGTCTAGGATTCAATACTGAGCTTTTCATATGTATCAAAGTAGAAGGGTCAATAGAGGTAAATTGGATTTCATTTATTCTGTTACATAGGCTTTTGCCGAGAATTCAAACTATTGATCTGAGACTTTTCATGATGTATGAATATGAAAAATTGGCAATTAACAAAAATTATTTCAGATCAGTAGAAAATGAATCACTGAACGGTGACTCCACAAAAAAATAATGGTTGCAAAAATGACTTTCCAGGCCTTCTATAGGATAGAGCCATAAGACTAAACGCTGTTTGTTGGTTAAAAACAGAAACCCGATTGTAAGTGAACAAAAAAAGTCATGTAAACACAAGACAGCCTTCAAAAGTCACATTACCTAAAAAACTAGATTTCAATGCAGGCAAATAATAATTTGCGCCATTTTAGGTTTCCGATCTGGCGTTCTGCTTTCAACATCTGGCGGAAACATTGTTATGCAGTAGCATTTGTGGACTGGGGCACAAGCTATATTAGGGGCGTTTGCAAAAGGCTTTTATGATCAAACTATTCGGTCTGAATCTCTTGATAACAGGTTTTCTATCTTGAGTATTGTAACAAATTAAAAGTATAACATTTCTTAGCAATTTAAACCTTATCATGGTTCGGACTCAAGGGAATAATCTATAAAAATACAGAGGCGAATAGAAAATGAATATTGTTCTCAAAACGATTTTTCAAGACTTCGGCATACCATTGTCATTGTTACCTATACTTTTAACTTCTCTATACTAGATGCTTTAAAAAATAGCTTTATTAGAGTTCCATCATACCACTTGCCTTTTTCAGGTTCAAGTGGACCAGGGGAGGCATTAACTAATGGTAAAAGGAGAAGTTATACCCAACCAAACGTCGAAAATACGCTTAGTCATAATTTTCGTGCTGCTGTGCTATTGGTTGAGTTGGAGTGCGAGGGTGACTCAGTTGTTGGAGACGCTAACTACGGACCCACGGGTCCGTGATTCGAGTCCCTGGCATGACCAAACTTTCACCAAGAGTGAGGAAAGTCACCAGCTCTCTGCAATTCCAGGCGTAGGAATCACGAGGTGTGCTCACATCGAGAGGAAAGACCAGGACACTGCTCGATAAGCATAAGCTTCCCAGTGCCCTAAAAACTATCTTCATTCATATGCTAGGTACAAACGAATACAAAAAATACAAGATAAGGTTGGTCTGATACTGATCACATGAAGTTGCCTCGTACTGGTTGACAAAAGAACTTCTGCCAATAGCAAGATGTCAACAATCGATGCTGATATCATATGAAGTTACAGCGATCATGCTGTAAGCAAATGACCCCCTGTAGAGAAGGCCTATTTACCACGTCTCAATGCCTTTAAGAACCGCTTTGTCGAACAGAAATCTGATTACAGCAAACGCTTTCTACGTAAACGTGGAGAGAAGTGGTTGCGTTTTTCTTTAAAATTACATCAAATAAAGCCAATATGTCACAATTAGAACGGCTCAGAGCAGATGTAAATAATCCATAAAATAACAAACTTTAAACCGATTTCAGATACTCTGAAACGCAAGATCTCAGCTCATCTCATAAACTTTGTTTGTTTTCTCTTTTCTTGAGGTCATATAAATAATAAATAAACAAAGATAAGATTAAGCGGGAAGGCTATTTTATGTTGCTTATCTACCCATTGAATTAGGCTCTTTATCCCCAGTATTCTGACAAGATAAAGTGATCAAAATTTATCGCAAAACAGTGTCGATAAACTGTAAGAATATCACAAGTTCCACTAAAGGTGTTTCCTAGGTAATTCATTATCGCTGCAAACAAGTGAAACAGAAAATTGAATAAACAACAGATAAACAACAGAAAGTACTGCAAAAACAACATTCGATTAATAGTCACCAATGTGCAATACGGACTTCTGTAATTTACACGACCTAATTTAAGGAACATAAAAATTGGCTTTAAATAAGTACCATACTTAAAAATTAAATTATTTACCGATACTTTACTCAGTTTAACAAGCTATTTGACCTCAAAACAAGTGATTTGTTTTCAAATACCTTTTTCAATTTTTCGACTGAGTTGAAAAATGTAGCAAAATTGACACTTTTACGGCATTCTGAGATAACAAGCGAAAATACAGGTAAAAATAGGTAAATAAAAACTTTGCGAAGGATTGGACAATGAAAGGAAAGAAAGAGGTATAGCAAACAACGCTTCACAAATACGGCACTTATAAACAGAATTCGCCCCCCGATGATGCAGGCACCCGATGGTTTCGAATTGAAATAGTAAGATTAGGCATCAAAACCTCGATTTCAAAATGAGGTCACTTGATGAAAAAATTGCTTGTACTCCTGTGTCAGTGACCTGTCTATCGCCAATATGACGGAAATGTGCACTTGTTGCAAATGCAATATACCCTGAGGTGTGCAGAAATTCTTTTGTGGCAACAATACGCGATGAGGTCACTAGAATTAGTAATATCATGCCACCTGCCTCAAATATAGATTCCAGTCAATAGCTTTTTCCAATAGATCAAAATCAGGGGGATTGGTAGCTCAATTACCTGTAACTAGACTCATTTATATTTTCTTTTTAACTATTCATTGCTTATTATCTTTGTGGCTGGGGGTCTCAAGGGTTACCGACCATATAATGAATAGGTGATAACATAGAATATCGTTCAAACAACCAGCAACTGCTCTTGAGATCAATTAGTCTTCATACCTGTAAACAATCTATGTTGCAACAATGACCAGTAGCGTTTGCTATTTAAAACAGTAGCAAATTGTGTGACTGAATGGACGCTGGGACCCTTGTATAAACCAACTTTGACGAAGGACTTAATTTTGCTAAAAGGCGTCAAAATTAACCATGTCTCAGAATATTGATTTCTGTCAAATAAAAAAAAGCCGTTTCAGGAATGCATACCAACTTTGCAGCTTTTGTTGAAAGTGGAAGCGAACAAGTTTTGTAGGTCCTTCAAATGTAATAAAAGTTCCAGTTTAACTGGATACAGGACGTGAGGTGCTAGTCTACAAGCAAATATGAATAATAGCAGTTTTAATACCATTTATAACACATAAAACCACATTGAAAATAATACGGAAAGAGAAAATGAAAAGAAAAAGAATATGCTTGAAACGCAGTGACTGATTGAAAGAGAGATATAGTAAATTATGCCTGGACAAAGAAAGGATGGTCGCAAAGGTTGCCTAATAGCTCAGTATTTAGACAGGAGCCATACACAAAGGAATTGCAGTTCAAATCAATTACTTTGTCTAATCTGATAGCTGCAAATACAAGAGCTCGAAATTTGTACTGTGAATTCAGATTTACGAACCACGAAATAGGACCAAATTCTATGGTAGCATTTCATCATCTGATCACCTGCATCTAGATACTCGGCGTTTCAGAAAATAATTGCAGTTATCGCTTGGAATCACTGGAAGGCAGAGTTCATTATTTTGGTATATGGTTTCAATACTGACGTTCGGCAGTCTGTTCTAGTCGTTCCAATACGCTTTTGCCTCCCTGTTAGAAGTTTACTTGACAAGAAGAAGTATGACCACTGCCATGCTCGATAAGCAAAGCTTCTTTGTATCAAAAAACAAACCTGTGACTGCTTGAAAGAAACACACGAACGACAAACATTTAGGTTATTTCTAAAGATATGGTATAGCAATGATGAGAGACATATGCGGTCATCTAAAGTGAAGTGTTAAAAAAAATATGTTTATTGCCTAATTTCATTCTAGTATTAGATTGATTTAGATATTTAAGCAGCTGAAAGATTTAGGTATCTGAGCGAAAGGCATGCAGCAAACACTTCCGTTAAGGCCTTATAAACGAAAACCTCGTAATGATATAATATTGGAGGTCTGGACATGAGCAAGCCATAACATACAAGAGAATCAGAAAATCAGAAAAGCGATTTGGAAAGTTTGACGTGAATGTGATTTATACGCAATCGAAGAGTGACGATGAGTTATTCATGAGACAGGACGAATTTGCAAAATTTGAAAGTTGAAATTATATTCAGAGCTCACACAAACCGAAGCTTGAAAGATTAGCCAGCAAATCTTAAAAGCTGATTTGTGTCTGTAAAAAGATACTTCAAAACAAACAGGGTTAGAGTGAAGCGTTCAAAAGTTTTTTAATAAGAAACGTAAGACCGTGGCAATCAAAAAGCTAAAATATTCAGTCAAGCTTTTGTTAATACTCATTATTTCTGATATATTTCCAAAAAAATTCACAGTCAAGATAATGCCAAAAGAGTGTACGAAAAAACAGCAATCCTACGACCATCGCAGTGAACATGAAGATTCCATTTCAACATAATATTCAAAAATTCAAGATAGATTCTACAAATCACATACACAAGACAACCTACTAAAGTCTGATGCAAAAACAATTTAGATTGACCAAAAAGATGACAGAAAATACAAATTTATTCACCAATGAAGTAATTTAAGAATATATTCTGAAAAGAAAAAAAACAGTTCCCTTTCTAGGGATAAAATGACAGATTATTTCCAAAAAAAGTTTGAAAGTTTCTACGTTGATGATAAAGCTACAAAGTTCATCATCAGTCCCGCTTGCCTATTGAAAATGTTGAATTTGAACAAACATTTTCAATAACCAAACGGCACTGATTGGGCAACCTCAACAGTCATGTGTTCGCGTTTCTGATTGGCTTATTTCGATCAACAAATGAGTATATAAATTTCGTAGCCTAGATTTTTCGATCTATGTTCTGACGTTTTATCCTCTGAAGAGTGTCAGACGAAAAGCTTTAGTGTGATTTAAAAAGAATGTTTTTTTCAAAGACATTTTTAAGTTTTGTACCCCAAAGATCATTTGCCAATAGTGACAAAACTTATAACTGACTTTTTCCAGAAATACATCGCTACCCACCAAAAAAACTAACATCAATAATTCTCAATAATTCATAATTATGCTTCATTATCAAACATTAATGATGAAAACCTGTCAAGTTAACTATCTGTTAGCTTAATTCACAGTATTGTCATTCCATTAACAGTTTGTTAAAAAACTCTATGCGCAATTAAAAAGGATATACTGACCTGTTTCCCCTTAGAATTCTTCAAAATACATGTTCCTTCTGTCCAACAACGTATCTTTTCTTGGCTCCTTTAGAGTTCGTAATAGTGACATTTTACTGTGTGTCATTTGAGATCTATGTATCTCAATCCTTGTCTTCTGTTTTGCGTGATATTGTGCTGGGCTTGTTGGACTACGGGCAGCTGCATTAATAATAGAAATTGAAATTATATACGTCATTTGACCAAGAAAGGCTTTTGATAACTAAGATAAAATGTGCTTATGAAAGTTTCCAAAAAGACCGCTTACAGTTTCATACAGAATTCAGTTTCATACAGAGCTCGCAAATTTAGGCCTTTTCTTTGTCGCTATTTAGAAATGGATTTCATCTACAAAAAGAGCATTGTTTTACAAAAGACTTACTATTTATAACGATGCTTTACCAATGCATTTTAATATAATTAAAACATTTGGCATGATCAAATATCTTATGTAAACAATATAACAAACACTAGGGTATGATAAAATTAACGGCAGAAATTGATGTTTATAAAGCAATGTCATAGCAAGGCTGATCAGAAGCGCAAGAAGGAGAAAATCATCATTCTTAGAATATACAACAATAATATTTGATGATAAGATATTTAAAAAGATTAAATGTTGTAATAACATAAACATGAGCCGTTTTGTCAAGCGGTGAAATGCAAAGAAACGCAAACATCCAATTAAAATGGATGCCCAATGACAAGAAGCAATCATAAACCACGCTTTAGTGCAAAGAACTGGACTGTTGCAAGTTGCAGCTCTGAGTTTTAGGCACAATACAATAATTAGACAACAAATAAACAACTTCTTCGTTGCTTATCAGTTTGTTATTACAGGATACCCAACAGGTTCCCTGGTTCCCGAATTCCCGCTACTTTTTTAGGCCCGATTCCCGATTCCCGTCCATCAATTCCCAAAACCCGGTGTTATCATTTCCCGATATACTATTTCCGGGCTCACAATAATTTGCCAATTCCCGATTCACCACTCTAGAAAATGACAACTCCTTGTTTCCCCGAAAAACTTATAGGGTACCCTCTTATTACATTTACTTGTTATGTCTCTACCAGAGAGCAACAATTGTTTAAACATCCATATAATCAAAATTTATGTTCATGAAAAACATGACAACAAGAAAAATGGTTCAAAGTTTCTACTTTGAGTTTCAATCTAAATGCGATAATGATGATGCTAATATTCATATATACTGATTGCAGTTGGTTTTAATGGAAGTTTCTTCAACACTGATGCATCTATGTACAGTGAGGTATGCCACGAGATGAACACGCTTCAATGATGATTTATTTATATACGGCTGCAAATTAGAATCAACCTGTTCTATACATAAAAGCATGTAGAAAAGCCAATAGAAGATTAACTTTCATTTCTATTTACAGTAAGTCACACTTGAAGCAATATATACTACAGCAAGGCAACATATAGAATTTACATCTTTCACAATTACAGCTTAGGAAAAAGAATGCGCATGAATCGAAGCTCAATTAAAAAATACATATGATTTCGACACTTAAATGCCTTTTTAGCTTCAAAGTATCAAATTATTTGACTTTAAGAAGCGAATTTCTCAGACTTTGCGAATGAAAGCTAGCATTTCACGTATTGTGAAGATTTACTTCAACATGGATAAAGACCAAACAGTAAAGGCGACAGTATTGATCCTAGTGTGACAGCTTCCCTTGATAATAAAGCTTCATAGGTGGTTTTCAAACCGCTTCTATGCGCATACAGTCACTTTTTGTTAGCCTTTAATGTCACGAGCCTTATGTTGACAAAAAATCTTTCTGGTCACAAAATAACCGAGGTTACGAGAACAGGTTGAATCAACAGAGGAGGACTGCTAGAGATAGAAGGATGTCAGACAAGCATCCGCTCTTTTGCCTAGACTATTTCTTGTTATTTAGAAATTAAGTAACCTCATTTGGTTTTCCAGTACCTTTTTTCTAAGATGGGAAACTTGAGGTAACTTTTCTCTGTAGAGACAAGTGGCTGGGATTTGAAATGATAATAACGAGAAGTTAGAATACTTGAATATCTAGATTTTTACAAAGAAAAAATAAATTTATAAAGATATTTGATATGATGAGGCTGTAGGGAAATACTGGAATTTCGTTATAGTGGCGAACAATGAATCTTGAAATGCAACAGACCACAGGGTTCGTAATTTTGGCTTGAGTTTGCGGCAATAGTGGCAAAAATGGTTATTTGAATTATTTATAACTTATAAATCTATAGAAAAGTTTCTGTTAAGAATGAATGAAAATCTTTGTCATACGGGCATGCGGACGTCGGAAAGAAACCAAAGAAATGATTCTGCTAGGCATCGTTAGGATGCAGATGTTCTCGAATAAAAGATCTCTTGTCGACGTTTGTATGGGCATTCATTCCTACAAGGGCAGTCCCTATTGAAAATAACGTGATCATTCTGGAAGAAAGGTTGAAACTCTGTAAAGATCTTTCAATATCAGGTACCACAAAAGAAGAAAGAATGAGCGAAAGACACTGTTTAAAACTGTAAGGCGCGTCAGGTTCATATAAACAGAAACGTGGCAAGTATATAAAAATTTAACAAGGTCTAAACGCTGACGAATGAAGTTTTCGAAATCTAAAACAAGCTTATTGATATTTAAGTGTCTGGACTAACATCTTCAATCCTAAAATACTAATGGATATCAAAAATTATGAAAATTCCTAACTTTTCTAAAAAAGCCGCCATTTTGTAGACAGAAGGAATTCGTTTTCTCTCTTGGACTCTAGTGGTAATTTTTCTTTAGGCATGCGACACCAATTGGTCAACTATACCGGTCCTGTGCTTGCGTTTTTCCGATTGGCCAATTTCGATCCACAACTGGGTACATATTTTTCATCGTGTTCTTTCGGACCCTTATTCTCACGTTTAATGCTCTGAGGATTGTCAGACGAAAAAGCTTTTGGCCAATATGTTGCAAAATGTTTGCTTTCTTCAAAGCCTGCTATCTTAACGTTTTATAACTTTTGGAAAAAGGGCTGTTATTTACCATAGAAATGAAGGAACTCAATAAAAGAAATAATTGCAGTTGTCACGAAAAAGGCTTTGAGCACAGGTAGTGAGACGGTAGAGATAGATGTTTAGACGTGACATTTGGACACGATAAACGACTCAGTTGATGGAAGTGTTGCTCTGGACAGACGCCAAAATGATGATAATTTTTATCTTGAGTTTTTTCTTTGAGTCGCAAAATAGAGATACTCGTGGCAAATAGAGAGCGGAAAGGACAATCAATGTTACCAATGGTGTGCATCAATGTCATCATACCTAGTGATGTTGCATCTTATTTGGTTTTTTATCATTTAAAATGTATTAAAACTAACTGAGCATCTTATATCGCTCCATATGATCCTAATTCAGCTTACATTAACATACCAAGAAAAGAATTGCATTCCAGGACGAAATTTGATAAAGAAAATTTTGATTCGCCGATTCCAATCAATCTGAAAAAATATTGAAACAAAATATTTGACGAAAGCCGACCAAAGCCAGCCTTTAAACAAATTACAAGAATAAACCCAACTTGAGCCAATAAAAAAACCAATAAGATTGATTTTGGTGTTATTAGGAGAACTCTTATTGCATTGCCAACCAAACGTAAATTCTAATTAAACTATATACATTCTTGAATTATCGAGGTACGACGTCACATGTGTCATTCTAATGTATTTGAAAAGTGGCTAAGCTTGACTTTAAAATAAACTGATTTGATATATTTTTAAAAGCTATCTTGAAGTTGATTACGTTAGCAATAGACAGGTTGATCGCATCAAAAAGCAATTTCAGAAATTGGTAATCTTCATGTCCTGCTTGTCACAATTCAAATAAGAATAAAATGTTTAAACAACAATATATGAAACATTTGATGTTTACAAAACAAATAAAATAAGACAAAAATGTTTTATTATCGTATCGATGGTGGTGAGTAATAGATAAAGGCTTGGTTGAAAGAGAACATTTGATATAACACGAAAATTTGTTTATTTAACTTTCATTGGTTTGCGTTTGTAAACAATGAGGTTAATTACTGTTTTCATTTCAAGATAAAATATATAGATTCGTCGTTCCGTTATATCTTTAACTTAAGACTAAACATACCCAGCTTAATAATTTCATTTTCTTATAATATTTTACGTTTAAAATATCAAATTATGTGGGCATTCAATGCATAGCCTCAATCGTAGTTCTTTGACTGACCGCCCTACAAGCCCTGAAAATCAATTCATTGTTTTGTATCATAATAAATCAGGTTTCAAAGAATTAAAGATTAAAACACGGTAAGAATAGAGTAAAATCCTCGTCAGCAAGTTTCAGAAAAACATTTTTGTTTCAATATCGGACATTTCGAACAATAGATCACATACTTTTGCTGTGTAAATCTTTGAAAGCAGCAAAAATTAACTTAGGTATTGTATTTAAGACAAGAGGTGGTTTCCTGCGCAAGAAATATAAAGTTCATATCAATGTATCGGCAAAGTTCTTAACGGTTTTAATAGCATACGTGAGGTTTTCATTTTGTGCCACATTTGAAAAGCAACGCGAAGGAGGAAACCACATTATACAATTATCGAAAATCCTGTCAGCTCTAGAATTCGATCACACAAGATGTTTTCGATTGATCTATGCACTTTTACAAATGGCTTGTCTTTGACCAATATTTTTAAAACAAGAAACAGAATTTTCCCAGCACACCAGTTGGTGTTGATTAAACTCATTACATCAGCCGAAGAGCGTGGGAAGAGACCAAAGTTGTCCTCGGAACCGGATCGGAATAACGGTATATGGTAGATATCTACCAAGCATTCACGTAAGACGTACATTTCAAGAATTTTAAGCCTATTAAAGTTCGTGTAGGCACTCTTTCTAGTAATCCGTGTTTACAACACTTCGTTATTGAAAGCCTTTTGAATATGACGTTTTGCGAACATCATGCTTCAACGAGGTCACTGACGACAGGTCATGCCAAGATCGCTTTTGGGCCTATAATCTGGACCTCAAAGATAAACAAGCACTAGATCCAATCGAAATACAGAAAACGTCTTTGCAAATGACAATTTGCGAGGATAATTAAACAAAGATTGCGATTCGAGAAATAAAACAGATTATTTAATC